TGTGTGTACAGTATTATGAGTGTGTTGGAATCTAACCTGTCCAATGGATCTTCAGGCTCAGGAATGATGAGCAGTCCATACACAGCATTGAGGATATCTCTCATGGTGATTTGGGCATTGTAGTTCCGGTCAAATATGTTGTGGCAGATGCGCCCCACACTGTTAATATTACAGTGATACACCTTGTTCATGTTAAGAAAATTATACTGCAATTAAAGTACATATTGATTACAATTATTCAAAATCACACTATTTGATGTTTCTTTGAAACAATGCTTCTGGATACAAATCCATCGATGGGCCTCATTTACCAATGTTTCATCATTTTTTATTTCTTAATTGTGCTCATGAAAGATGAACAAGAAGACTAAGAGAACTCTATATAAAGTCGTGAACACATATATATATATATACAATATGTTTTCTTGGGTTGAAGCTGTTCTTTATTTGGAAGGATACGCGTGTGACAAAGCGAACAAGTGGAGGCTTCACTGGGTAGTCAGCACCAAACTGGCAGAACAACTCAAAGACTCCTTTCTCATAAGGTGTGTCAGGAGGTCCCTCCATGATAATTTTCCAGAATGCTGAAAAGTTTAGAAAACAAGATTGAAAGGTTGAGTCTGACACACTTAGTTTTGCTCTTTTCCCAATAGTGCATTAATTGAATTGACTGAATTTGCCAGATATGGCAAAAGTACACACATTGTTTTAGAAGAAGTAGAAGTACAGTACTGATTCAACTTCTTTACTCAAGTAAAAGTAAAAATGACAGGCTCTGAAATGTACTCAAAGTATAAAAAAGTACTCTCTTTGTTTCTCTGAAGGACATTTCTATCGGCTGTTTCTGCAAAGCCAACTGAAACTTCAAACAGGGTCGAGTCTCTCTCTCTTCAGTTTCATCTTTTTACATCATTATGTATTTTATGTTGTTTTCATCATATGATGATGCATCATCTGTCATGCGTGATATGCATTGGTCTTGTTTGGAACTTACTGAAGTCAGACTCTGATGGAAATATACTAAAGTAGGGATGTGGGTCACGATGCAGGCTCCTCAGTTCCTCCAGGATACGTTTGTCCTTTTCCATCAATTGCCCAACTTTGGCATCCTGGATCTTCTTTTTCAGAGCACTAGTGTGAAAGATTAGTGACTAAATATTAATACAAACATTGTAATATATCTATCATTTAATCCATTTATAATTACTGGGCTCATGAAACCTTTGAAAACCACCAGGCTTTAGTGCTATAAGTGCTATAATGTCGATTTATCTGTTAGTTGACTGACAGAAACACCAAACAATTTACCATTTTTCTCTCTTTAATATCATAGTATATAAATTTTACGGAAACATGTTGCATTGACATTCTGCTCTGTTTTTCTGAATTAATGACTTTCTATCTAAAAATATAATATATATATAATATAAAGCAGAAATTGTATAATGCTGCAACTGTCTGGTCATCACCAAAAACTAATCCTATTCTTCTGCTGAATTACAGCCAAATCTTTCAGAGGCTTTTTCAGTTAACTTTACTAAAAAAAAATTATCTCTAGAAAATGTATAATTAGATCAAACCCAGCCTCTGAGTTCACCCTTTGTCAGCTCATTCTTATGTCTTGACAAAACATACGGAAACAAAAACATACAACAAAGTAATCATCAGCATGTTCTACATAGGCATGGAATGAGATTGTTACCTCTCTGTCAGTGTCACTTTACTGTTTATCTGGCTTGGCAAAGCAGTCTCTGGAGACTCATCATACTCATTGGCAGCAGAGATCGCTGTTAAGAAACCCTGAAAACAGAAAAACTCAAAATAATAAGCACATCCTTATAATGTGCAACTCGATTCGTGTTGGTGTAATTTTCAGAGCACTTAACTGAACTATGCACAAACATTAGTGTACTAACTGTACTGATGCATGATGGGTCGGCTTTGTTCTTGGGTTTCCTCATCTCCAAAGAGAGAACCGTCTCTATCTCAAAAAGCTTCAGACCATCTTTGCTTGTCTCTGGCTTGAAACAGCAACCCCCTGAATGCAATATAGATTTAAATGAGTTAATTTACCACTGATGTGTTATTTAAACCCCTTTAAGACACTTGTTCATGTCACTGCCAAACCATTACCTCCTAGTAATGACTAGTCAAAGGCAAGTGTTTTTTTTTTGTTTTTTTTTAATTTACAAAATTATAAATAAAACAAGTAATTGTTCAGCTTCCAATAACAATGTATTTTTACCAGCTTGGCAGACAGTTTCTCAAACCAATTACTTCATAAATGAAGGTTATAATTCATTGTCCATCAAAGGATGCTTGCTACAGCAGCATGCTACTCTCATGTGTTCCTATTAACATGTCCTTATATCTAAACAACAGAATAGGTTGAAATGAGAGATATGATCGGTGTAGAGTACCTGTGACAGGGACCATAAGACATTATGTAAGCACAAACCTTCATGGTATTGTTTTGGAAAAGATTGCGTTTGCATTACAATAAATGTTTTCGTACCTAAATGACATTAGTCACATGACGTAAAGGGTTTTAGTGCAAAAAGGAGCTGGATAATGTAAGGGTGGATTCTGATTTTTGCTGATTTTAATAACAGAAGAAAGGAACCAGCTCCATCGTAGCGTATAGGCTGTAACAACGATACTCGCCCCAGCTCACAGCACCACCTTGTGGTATAACGTAGAATAAAATAATTACTACATGACTCTTTATGTGGACTTTCTCAATCTTTGTGTGGACAGTGTTTTTTCTGGCGAGGACAGTCTGGTTTCTATCTCTACTTTCTCTGGCATCTGCCCTTTGATAGGCTTATATTAGGTAAGACTGCTTTCTTGACTATTGGAAAGCAATCAATAGAGCAAATCATCAGTCTTTGACACAGATTATTAAAGGTTCCATATGTAAGATTCTGAACCCGACTTTGTCTGTCATCTGCGTACTAAATGTATTTCTATGTAGGGATGCAGGTTGAATTTTCTGTGAAAATCCAAAGGATGTGACATTTATGTATGCAGTGAGCAGGGCCGGAATAAGCAACAGAACAAGACGAGCATGAACTGGGCTCACAGACTCAGAGTGAGTTAATTTATAAGTAAATGTTAACATTATCCATCATCCATTATATCGATGAGTCCACCAGTATTTGTGAGACTGTGTGATGTTACACTGTGTTGAAATAAATTAACTAAATGTTCAGTCTCCTTGCTGCTTGTTCTGACACATTCAGAAGCATTACTGCTTGTTCTGTCAGCATTTAAATAATTTAATCAATATCATGAATGTGGAACGACTAGTCGACTATTGGCTTTAACTAACGACTACTAGTTGACTTGGAAAATCTAGTTACTATGCAGTGTTATGATTATAGAACCTGGCTCAAATTAAAGACACATGAAACATAACATTAATTCTAAAGCATTCAATTAGGTTTTACTGTACCTGTTGCATTGCTGATTCCGCGCAGAGTACAAGACATATTGCCTGAAAGTGCCCTGCGCAGATTCTGCAGAGGATTGTCCGCCACTGTTCCAAGAATAATTGAATCCACGATGATGTTAGATTTTATCAGGTTGGCAGTAACAACATCTGGCTTGTTTGAGGATCTATGTACAAAGAATATGTTCTCAGGAAGCATAATACAATTTGCAGGTGTTTTACATTTTTATTCTTCATAGTAACCAACACCTACCCAACCAACCCACCCTATAGTCACATAACTCCCTTATGTTACCAATTTTCTCAGGAAATAGACAGCTAGTTTAGAGAAGGAAATTTACCCAACATCGTATCCATCAGTGAGACAAAGGATGCGACGTTTACAGTCTGGAAACTTCTTGACTTTTTCCAACTCAAGCATTCCATGCTGTAGGGCATCATACAGCTTAGTTCTTCCATTTGCCTGAAGGGTGTGCACGTGTTCCTAGGAAAGTGTGAAAAGCAACAACTTCGGTTTAGTAGGCTATTGTTTCATGGCTGAGCAGCCCAAGCTATATACCATACAGACAGAACACATCTCAACCTTCAGTACTGAACTGAACAAGGATCTGGTACATGTGTAATGTGTTGTATTTACCTTGAACTTTTCCAGTGTTTCTGTGAATGTGTGGAGAGTTTCCACTGTAGAGTCAAACTTCGCAAGGCCAATGACATGATGAAAATCGTAAGCCATGGTGCGTGTTGCAAAGTTGTCAAAAAGCTGTTTAACAGCATCAATTTTCTGTATTTCCACACTTCCATAGCATTTTTCTTCCATGGATGAGCTTGTATCTATCAGCACCTGATAAGATTAAAATCAAGAAATTATTGAGAAAAATGAAGCTCAACTTGAAGCATGCACTTTATAGGGATCCAGTCAACTTTGTTTAAAAAAAGAAATGAGAGAATAAAATGAGGAGAGCAACAACACACTTAGCCTGATTGTTGCAACTAATTTGTTGATTTGTATTGGTTATTTATTTTATAGACCATTAAAGTATGCACAGTGGGGTACTGTTGTCTGTTTGCTGTTGCTTGTTAAATGTAGAAAAAGTGAATGCTAAGACCACTGTGTATGTGTTGTAGAAATCTGTGGAGTATTAACCATCTGCATGAATGAATGGGTACTGAAATGAAATAAATATGTAAAAGATGTACTACTATAAGTAACTTAATTTTTTATAAATAAGGATCAACATTACCATTATGGCTTCTTTTGGAGTCCTCGTTGTGACAAATGAATCGTTGTCCCTCTGGTCACCAGTTCTGCATGAAAAGTTAAGAATTGTATCAAAAATTTAAACTGAAAGTCTAATAGTTACTGTATGTAAAAGCAGATGCGATAACATTTGTTGGGGCATTCTAGTGCAGTGTAGTAATATTAATAAATGGTTCATACAGCACATTGTTGTTATGTCTCTATGTCTTTACCTTTGTACATAAACATCAGACTTTCATGACCAATTGTGATATTGACTTCATAGCGTTGTTGCCATTTTGATACAAGAAAGAGGAAATTTGATTTCATTTAAATTCAGAGACACAATATTCTAGTTTTTGATTTGAACAAACTGCATGAATGCCAGAATAAACTTTTTGTTAAATTCGATCTTGATTTTATATTTAATGGAGTTTAGTATACTAAAAAATTAAGTACTCACCTTGCTGCTAATTCGTCCACATTCACATTTTTGGTTTTGCCAGCCAGACAATCATACAAACACCCATCAAAATCAGTGCAGGGGTTGCTATTTTTAGTCAAATAGACACAAGGTTGTCTGTGAAAAATGAAAGAATAAAGAAGCAAGCAAGACTAATAGGCCAAAAAACATCAAGGGAGCAAAAAGCAACAATTAATTCAATTTCAGAAATCTATTAAATTTTTATATTTGTATAGCAACAATTGATAACAGAAGTTATCTCAGAGCATTTTCAAATAAGAGCAGGAGAACTTTGAAATTTGTGGCTCTTAACTTTGGAAATTCTTAAATTTCTACTACTAAATCACTGTGCCTAATTTAATTAATCGTATGTGCATATGCCATATGCATTTAATACAGCCTATAATGTTATGGAATGTTTGAACATACAAGGATTTACGACTGGTTTCTTGTATTTGGTAAAATCAATAATTTAGAAATGAAAGCATTCAAGAATGATTTTCGCGATAACTTCAACTCAGGAAAAACAAGTCGACTGGTAGTAAAAAACGAGGATCTTTCCAAAAGGAAGTGGGTGGAGTACATTGAAAGTTGAGGGGAAAGCTGTTCATTTTTTCTGATGTCTCAAAAACTCTTCAGGTATCTATGTGAAAGCTGAATATCAAATTAATAAAGGGTTACTAATTGGAGTTACTGTGAATATGTGAGAACTGCATCAAACTTATCACACACAACAAGATGATTTGCAGATGAAGAAATCATTTCATTCACTAGTCTGTAAAAGTAGTGGGTTCTAAATTAAATGAATTTCTTGGGAATTGTGTAATAGGCTTTAACACATGATCAGATTATTAAATTAAATGATCAGTGGATAGCTGAAGTGACAATTAAATTACCAATATATCAACAATTACTCTGAGGCATAAAAGATATAATCTGGTGCTTTATATGTGTGAAATCTGGTATGAACATATCAGTGTGTTATTGTATTATGCTAATTATATGAGCAGTCATAAGGAAAGCATGAAATGTGATACATACTTCTGCCCCCAGTCACC